AAAATTGAGACTATTATGCTAAATGATACCATGTAAAATAAGGACAATATGATTACATTTTTGTGAGCTATTTAGAGGCTGTGGTTTTCAGGACGTGGAAAATGAATGAAATTGTGCAAGGGATGGAAAAGAGGAAGGCAGGAGAAAAATCCCTCAGTAAGTGCCTACGAGTGCTGGTAAGATCTTGAATCTATATAGAAGTGTTGGCTGAACAAAATGTGCACATAATGATTCCTGCTGAATTGTTCAGTATAAAGTACCTACTAGTAAGTATATCATGGGATTTTACTTCAACAGATTATTTTAAATGAATTTAGAATTAACTTTAATATTTTGAAACATAAGGATTTAAGTGAATTTGTGAGTTTTGTCTTCCCTGTACAGTTTGCATGCTTTGATACATTTTGCATATTATCTTCAATTAAAAATGTTGACATAATAGCTTTGGTGGTTTTGCTATATAGGTGTCTTCCATTACATTGCAATCACAATGCAATTAATCTCATGATAAATTTAAATGACTCCATAGAATTAACTCTACTCACCATAACGTTTTTAAATTTCTGAAAATGTTTCACTTGAATTTACTATTTAACTCTATAAATTTACCCAATGACTATGATTGCTTTAGCAAATGTTACCTTTATAAATGCATGTTTTTATATATTGAACCACATTCATTCTTATAATAAATCTTATATAGAAATAGAACTGGCTTTACTTATTCACATTAGTCAGTGATTTATTTTTTGTCATTAAATTTTATATTATGTAAAAGGGAAATTTTGCACTTTCCTTTCTTCCTGAATATCTGTTTTCATCATAACGAGCTTTCTCTTTCCATACCTAGGCCGGATCTACACTTTTCATTCTTAGAAAGCTGTCTTTGTCAACTACATATTCATGTCTTTAAAAAAATCTATGGTATAAATTTGTACATATTTTAAATTGAGTTTTAAAAGATTAATTATCTAATAGTGCAATTTACTTTTTCACTTAGGTATTTTTTTTGTATTTACTAGTGTTTTCTGATTGCAATACACAGTGCTCCTTAAATTGTGGCATATGAGTTTATTAGATATTTGCAATGCTTTCCTAGAGTCTGAGATCTGTACAATCAGTTATTAGAGTAGGAATGTTTTCTTTACTCCTCTATTCACCATTACTTTTCAACACTACATATTTAAACTTCAAATTTCCTAATTTTCAGAAATGTTTCACGTGAATTTACATTGAAATTTTCAGGTTATTATTGAATTGTTTGAAAAAATCATAAGATAGTTCTTGCTTTGGGTATTTTTATGTATATCCACTTAATTTTTATAGATTATAAGGCAATTACTTATTAATTCAATTTGTGAACTATTGTATTCATTTTTCCTAGTCATGGTTTCTACTTTTATTTTATTTGTGGTTGTTTTTATGGTATTTTTTTGTATTTTTAAATCATTAATTTATCAATCTGTAATTTTTACCTTGTGTTTGGGATTCATTCATGCAAATCCATACACACACAAACAGGGACTGTCCTTGTTTATATATCTGGGACATGCATGTTAGTGCTATGATTACACTGCAATATTTGATGATTCACCTGGGGGCATGGCAGGGGAGGGAGCCTTCTAAACAAAACACACACTGTGGTAGAAAATTATAATGGGAAGAGATGTTCTGCTAATATATTTTTGAGATATTATTTAAATTTATTGATCTGTAGAAGGGATATTATTCATAGATTTCTGTTTGTAGGAAGATTTTTTTGTTGGAATTAAAGAATGAAATCAATTCTTGAAGTAGAAAATGACTCTTGAAATAAAATACATATTATAAATAAAAATAAATGATAGAAAAACTATCAGTAATGGAATGTTAACTTGGTCAAGATTTTTATCATCACTACATCTTAGAACTTTGAAATTTTATTCTCAATATATTGACTTTGAAAACATACTATATCATTACTTTTAATGGAACAATTCTTAAAACGTAGTTAAGGGAAGTCTCTCTAAACATTTAGTTGAATTCACAAATCAAGCCTCCTGAACTTGATTTTAGAGTGGGAGTGGTTTTTTATGCACATTTCCATTTTGAGATACTATTCATCAAAGATTTCTCTTGATAGTACTTTTTGTGTCCATGTAATTGAAAAACACAACACATCAGGTTTATGATTGCAAACTAAAATATAGACAGATTTTTATAGGCACTCCCTGATTTTTTAGTATTTCTTATTTTTAGTGGTATTGAAATTTCTGAGTTATTATTGTGCACAGTATTAAACTCTGCTGACTCAAAAGGGTTAGAAATAGTTTGAATACTAATTCCTCATTTTTAAACTAATATTTGTGAATATAATATGAAGCTTTCAGAAATGATTTATGAATCACTTTAATAATAAATGTACATTTAGGATGACCATTTTTGAATTGGGTCTTTGAATTTGGGGGGGTCTGATTTTTTTCATTTCTTTATATATTCTAGATAGTAGGCCTTTGTCTGAGGTACAGCTGCTAAAAATTTCTTCCCATATTGTAGATTGTCTCTTAGCTCTGTTGGTAGTTTCTCTTGCAGTGCAGAAGCTTTTTAATAAGATGAGATCCCACAGACATTTCTCAGACAAAGAAGTAAAAACAGCAAATAAATATATGAAAAAATGTTCAACATCACTGGTCATTCGAGAGATGCAGATGAAAACAACACTGAGATTCCACCTCACCCCACAAAGAATGGCTGCTATCAAGAAATCAACCAATAACAAATCCTGGCGGGGGTGTGGAGAGAAAGGAACCCTTCTCCATTGTTGGTGGGAGTGCAGACTGGTGCAACCACTGTGTAAATCAGTATGGAGATACCTCAAAGAACTAGGACTGGAAGTCCCATTTGACCTAGCTATTCCCCTGCTGGGTATCTTCCCCAAAGAATTAAAAGAATCATACCACAGTGATATATGTGCACCAATGTTCATAGCAGCACAGTTTGTAATAGCTAAAGTTTGGAAGCAGCCTAAGTGCCCATCAACTGGAAACTGGAAAAAGAATATGTGTTTTTTTTTAATAAAATGGAGTACTACTCAGCCATAAAGAATGAGAGACTAGAGTCATTTATAGCTAAATGGATGCATATTGAGGCCATACTCATAAGTGAAATAAGTAGGACACACATGTGTAAATACCAAAAAGTTTCTCTGGTGTGAGAAATGGAAAATGTAAAAAAGGATGAAAATGATTAAAGCGAATAATTGATAATTTGAAATAGGAAAAGGTCCAAAGGGGTTGGGGTGCACAGGTAATGGGCGAAAAATAAGAACTAAGATACATCATGTTCAGGTACAAACACCCAATGATAAATGTAAAGATATTGTATACCTAAAATGTACGAATAAATATATAAATTAAAAAAAATAAATAAATGTAGACCTTTCAAAATGAATGAAATAGCTTATATAATTATAAACCTCAACAGCAACTTTTTTGTTCATATTTTATCATTTAAGTAATTAACAGTTATGCCAAGATTTATAATAAAATAGCATAATGTGTTATATTAAATCATGCTACAATTTTATGCAATTGGGTACTAGAAAATTTTATATTTATTTTACAATAAATTTCCAGTCTTACGACCAACAATAACTAATATTAACATGTCATTTTTCATTTTAAACTTAAAAAAAAAATTACAATAGCTTCACACACAGAAACACAGATAAAGCTTCATTCTACAGTTTATCGTACTGAAATAATCTTTTTCATTCTCTCTGGTAATATTTACCTCAGTGTGACAATGTATACATTATTCGAAATAATTTTTATTCACCTGTGCTGATTACACAGATAATTTTGTGGCCTGATGCCGTACTACAAAAACAGAATAGCTTTTCTCTGACACAAGTAAAATTCCAAGAATATTGAATCATAATTTTCTGAAAAATACATGGAGAAATAAAAGTTTATGGAATAAGTATGTTGAAAAGACAAGCATATATACATATTAGATTACACTCAAATTAGGAAGCTAATATAAAATTCATGTAGTCCAAGGATGGAATATTATCAAAAAACAACAAGGCCAGGATTTAGCTGAGTAGCACCACACCTGGCTGCAAGCTCAAGGTCCTGAGTTCGATCCCTGGTAGTACTTTCTTTCCTCCTAATTTTCTTTTCAATTCTGACTACCCAAGATTTTCGTCTTTCCTACTCCTTAAAATTTCTTTTTTTTTTAAAATAGATTGCTCAGGAAAAAGTACAAAAATGACCTTCAGGTAAATTTTTTTTTAATTTTTTTGGTAATTGGTCACTAATTTATGAAAATTAATGAGTAAAAAAACCCAAACACCTCAATGCATGATTTATATGGCAAGCCTCAAGAAATTTATCTTAATTGCTGCATTTGCCTTTCTAAAAGTCAATAGATTTAGATTAAATCATTTGTTACCCTGAGCTTATGGGTTGCTGTACTGCCAGACATGAGGACAGGGCCACTGACTGCAGAGGCCACCACAAGGAGTAGTGGCCTTTGAGCCAATTCTCCTGAGAACAAGCAAGATTCATTTTAACACGATCCATCAACTTGTGTAAAGCATAAAACAGAAAGATTGCATTTGCTTACCCAAGGCTAGAAACACACACACACACACACACACACACACACACACACACACACACTGAAGATCAAGATAGTTGAGAAGAGCTCAACAGCCATTCACTCCTCTTGGTGCTACCATTAGCCCTCACTCCCACTCAGCAAATGGTGCATATTCACTGAAATTAGGATCTCCGGGTTCTAATTCTACTTTACTACACTTTAACATTTCTTTGATTACTATGTTTATAATTTGTTTCTCTTCCTCAAAGAAGGCAGTGTTAGTTGTTTTGTTCACTAAATTTGTATTAACCATTTAGAAGTTCAGCTGCTACAAGAAGGCCAGGTTCTGGATATATCCCAAGGGCATTTGTATTCTCTTTACATTGTGCATTTAGAGAGCAAGTTCTCATGAAAGCTCATTTCTGTGACTCCTCTGGTATGTATCTTTCAAAAATAATGCCTATCTTTTTCCATGTCCTTCGAAGAACATATGTTACATCTTTGTTCCTCAAGCTGTAGATCAGTGGATTCAACATTGGAATAATCAGAGTATACAGTATGGAAGCCACTTTATAGTTGGCAGTGGACTGACTAGACTTGGGCTGTACATACATAAATAGCAATGTCCCATAGAACACGGTGACCACGGTAAAGTGGGACCCGCAGGTGGAGAAGGCCTTGCGCCTGCCCTTTGCAGAGTTCATCTTGAGAATGATTATAAAGATGAGCAGGTAAGATACAAGGATGACCAGAAGAGAGAAAATCAAGTCAAAAGCTGATGCAAGCAGAAGTATCACCTCTAAGTCATAAGTATCTGAGCAGAGCAATGATAACAAGGGGAGACTGTCACAGAAGAAATGACTAATAACATTGTGGCCACAAAAGGACGAAGTAAAAATCTTTGTGGTGAGCAGAAGAGACACAAATATGCAGTAGAGACAGGGAATCACCACTAGTATCCAACAAACCCTTGGTGTCATGACCACAGTGTAGAGGAGAGGGCGACAGATGGCCACATAGTGGTCATAGGACATCACAGACAGAATAAAAAGCTCAGTACCCACAAGAGCACCTAAGCAAGCCATCTGTGTAGCACAACCATAATAGGAGATTGTATTTTGATCCACCACAAAATTTACCAACATTTTGGGCCCCACAGCTGTGGAATAGCCAAGATCAGTGAGAGCCAGGTGTCTGAGGAAAAAGTACATGGGAGTTTGCAGCCTGGGGTCCACCTGGGTAAGGATGATCGTGCCCAGGTTACCCAGCAGCGAGGTCAGGTAGATGATGAGGAACAGGAGGAACAGTGGAGCCTGCAGCTCAGGGAGATTTGTGATGCCCAGCAGGATGAACTCGGTCACTGCTGTGAGGTTGTGGTTTTTCATCCAGATTTAAAGCAAAATTATTCTCGATAGAACTTTCAATATAGTCAATAAAGGTCTGGGAAGTATATTATGCAAAGCTTGTATCAGTAAACTATATCTAATGTACCTGATATAAATTATTTTTAAATAAACTCATTTTCATGAATATGTTATACCTTGAAATGGAGACATACACAATATAGAAAAGTGTTTCTCAACCAAGGAGCTTTTACACATAAAAAGATATTTCCTTATCCACTCATATTTTGATTATCTCAGATTAGGAGTGAGCTATCATTGGCATATAAGGGCTAGTGTCTCCTTGAGCAGATAACAGTCTTGTCATATCCAATATCTAGTCTACAAAAATATCCAGCCAGTCCCAATTATCAACCTTTATATGTTTCAGAATCCCTGATTGGTTTCTGATAGGTAAATCTACCCTGATAGGTAGACAGTTAAATAGAAATATTGGTGGATGGAAATATTTAAGCAAAAAAAATCATTTAAGATTAAACATTGTAGAAATTTGGGGCTCTGGGTAAATAGATAAATTTATGTTACTGTTTACATTTCCTTTTTGCCATTTATTTAACTACAATCATGTAGTGGCACTTGATAATTGCATTTATTGTAGGGCTTAATACATATGGTGTTTATATAATAAGAATTTCTAATCATAAATTTGAAAAATGCATGTAACTCTCTACTTCCAAATACAAAACTACAAAGGCCTTACAACTCTTAAGTACAGCTGAAAGTGTTAAAAAACTTAATAGAGATTGAACAGTTGTATAAATAAGGAAAATATAACAGATATAACTGGGAACTCTCATTATAAGAATAAACAAGTTGATCTTCATTTACACTTTTAGTTTTTCACACCAGAGAAACTATTTGGTATTTACACATGTCTGTCCTATTTATTTTACTTAAGTGCATGCCCTCAATGTGCATCCATTTAGCTATAAATGTATCTAGTTTCTCATTCTTTATGGCTCAGTAGTACTCCATTTTACAAAAAAAAAAATCCGTGTCTTCTTTATCCAGTCTCCAGTTGATGGGCAGTTGGGCTGTTTCTAACTTGGTATGTGCATGTTCATATACCTCTACTACAGTTTACCTTAGCATATTCAATATTATTTTGTGCAAATCATTTGCCTAAACATTATTCTCATATACAATATGTCACTGCACCATTCTTGAGAAGAATGAAGTAGGATTACATGATGCAGTGGTTCTATGCTGCCTGGAAATAGTGCTCAAAAAACACGTACCTATGTGTTTTTAATGGTGATGGTAACTTAACTGAAATGGATTTTCACTACCTTTGAATATTCTTATCCAACTAGGGATTGATTTTGCATTTTATAAGTGTTATAAAGACAACTGAATGCAAAACATGACAAGGAGAATGTAACAAGTTCAGTTTAGACCAACCTCTACCCTCCTAACACACACACAAACACACACACACACTCTAAGACTAAAATTGGACAAAGAGCATGGCGATGTCTTAGGTTACTTACGTTCTATTTATTAATATCTATTTTAATAACATTTAGAAATTGACTTGTGTAAGGCGTATAATATGCCTATAACGACAACACTCTGGAAGGGTGAGGTAGAAGGATTGCAAGTTCAAGCCCAGCCTGGGAAATTTAGCAAGACCCTCTCTCAAAATTGAAATAATAAAAAATGAAAAGTCTGGGGACTCAGCTCAGTAGCAGAGGCTGATCAGACCCCCAGTCACCTGACCAAGGGTACAGTGGATGGATTAAAAAGACAAGACAAGATCTTAATGCATAGATGGGGGGCCCAGGTCAGTCAAAGCTCTTACCTGGCTGACACCGTCTCCGGAGCTTGTCACTGTTTACTGAACACGCAGCTTCCACAAGGGGGAAGGGGAAGTGCGGGTAATAGTGAGGTGGAGAGCACTGATGGGAGCGGGGTCCTAGCAACAAGGAATCGGATATTATAGTAGGAACAGATCATTGATTGATGGGAAGTTTGTTTCTTTCCGTGAATTAATTTTGGCCTCTGTAGGAGTGTTCTGTATGAGTCCTGATGCCCTTAGCTGCACAGTTGTCCTGCCATCTAGGACATCACAGCGTCATGGTTCACTGAGACCTCTTCTGTGATCAGTGGTGTGGGGAGATGTTCCCTTTCCACACCCCAACTGCTGGCTCTTCAGGCAGCCACTGTGGGCTAATAGGCAGGCTAGGACTTTTAATCTGAAAAGCCAGTTTGTGAATTTGTAGCTCACTCAGGGTGCTTGCCATCAGCTCAGTGTGAAATTTCTGGGTTCAATCCCCAATATTGAAAAGAGTGTGAATAAAATTACATGAAATATTCATTCTGTCTAACAGCATTTTCAGTAAATTAAAATATATTTAGTTATATGGTATGCAGCAGATGCATGTTACATACAAGTTCCTGGAAGAGCCTGAAAAAATGTGAGCAAATTAGAGAGACGTAATTGGCATAGACTTGACTCAGTGGAAACATAAAATGTTCCTGGATAAAGCAAGCCTGTGTTTTTAAAAGAAAAATATTTGAAATTTTATGAAAAATACTACAAGGATAAAAACACACCAACAATAAAGTAGACATGGATTTCTGATGTTTCTGGAAATCTTTCTGCACACTAAGTATACAAGAACTTCCTCCACATATAATGTAGCCCATAATGCAGATAAACATGTGTAAAACCAATAAAATATATCTGAATAGCTCTAATAAACAGCATACTTAAAAGAATGAAATTATAGCAGGTGCATGGCCTCTTAAGTTAAGACAATTATTACTATTGGAAAATATTGTGAGCAATAATGCATTCTAAGTCAATGAAAGGAGTAGAAATGATGTACTTTATAGTGAAAATTGTATGACAGCCTTTTCTAAGAAAAGTACAAGCAAACAAAAAGGTATAAAATGTGTTTAAAATTGATTACATGTATTTTGCACTTCACTAATTCACAATAATTCTTATCGTTAATTAAGGTTATTGGCACAATTTGGATGATCACATTCAATTTGGTGATCACATTCAACATGTGGAATTTTTACCTGTATATGATATATCTTGATTCTTTTTTTTTCCCATTCCCCTCCCCTCCTTTCTATCCCTTTTCCCCATGTTATTTATAAGAGCTCTGTTTCCATTTAATCTTTCTTTTCTCATTATTTTTCATTTTTCCTTTCTTCCTTCCCCCTCCCTCCATCCTCTTTGCCTCTTCTTATTTGAACATTTTCTTCCAATTTCACATTCTCTGTTACACCTTTTGATCCTTATTTACACTTTCAGTTTCACACAGCAGAGAAAGTATGAGATATTCACAAATATGTGCCCGCTACCTGATATCCTCCCTTGCTCTGTATAGAAACTTATTTCATTAAATATTAAAAAAATCAGATTATAACATTACAGAAATATTTTAAATATGTGAAATATGAAGCTTTGGACACCTCAGAATGAGAAACTGAATCCCTGCCATTTATTCATTAATTTTACTGGTACATTTTAGGTATACAATATGATGACATTCATCATTGGAACTTGTATCTTTACATGATACATCTTGGTTCTTATTTCTGTCCCCATTCTACTGCCCTCCCTGCAACCCCTCCACCCTTCCCTATTTACAAAGGCTTTGTTTCCATTTTTCCTTTTCTCCTATTTTTTTCCTTTCCCTTCTTTCCTTTCCCCTACCCCTTTCCCTTTAGACTCTTTCTTCCTATTTCACATGATCTATTTTTGTTTTGGTTGGTTTTGCAACCACGAAAAGTAAAAATTGAAATTCACACAGAAAGTATCAATTTTCTTGTAAATAAGGAAAGATTAAAAATGTTTTCTCTCACCAGCTTTGGAGTTCAATGATAAATCAAATCCAAATGCAAAATGAACATTTTGTTATTACCATAAAAGTGACTCCTGATGAGCCTCCTGAGATTCAAATAGTACTTTTCAAAAGACGATGCACTGTAAAGAATATATTTTCCATCAAGACATCTGTCCTGAATCACATTTCTATACTCATTTATATGCTTATTGAATGTTAAGCTATTTTTCAGTAAATCATAGGGTCTAGAGACAAAAGTAACTACAGATTTGAAGGACGTCAGAATGAGAGATTAATCCCTGCCTCTTCAAATTCTGATAATTTAAAAAATCATGTTATCTTACTTATGTTTTATCACTTCTCATTTTCGGCATCCATGAGGTATAAGATTTTGTGTCTAATTATGATCTAAAAAACACACACTCTGTGTGTTTCTAAGATGATTATGAGTGTTTTGTTTCTCAGATTAGGTATCAAGTTCAAAAATTTATATTAAAATAAAGAGAATTCCTATTGCTTCTTGGGCATTGTGTGCTACTAAAAGGCCCAGAAACTGAATCAGAAATGACTGCCTACCTTAGATGACAGACAGTCACTGCTAAATGTGAACATGACTGTAGGCAGTAAAATATATGGCCCCACATGAAGCATTTGTCTTTGTTACCTGTATTAAAACATCTCTCTTGATTTCCAAAGTGTTCCTTCACATGGGGATTTCCCAATCAATTTATGTATTTTAAACTTTTTCTATTACCCCTGTGGAGTCACCAAGCAATATTTTCATCCCTAAATCATTTGAGATCTCAATAAAATGCCTAGAGATTTTTTTGCTAATTATCAGGGACAATTTGCAATTGTGACGTTTTGCATGCAAATATGTATTTTATATTTCTGCAGTCCCACCTGTGGATATTTATTTAAAATATTGGTAATATCATCTCAAAGAAATATTAATATTCTCATGCTCATTTGGCATAATTAAAAATCATGAATATATTGGAAACAAATATACCATTCCATAGAGATGTTGACAAATAAAATATATACAATGGAATTTTGTTCAGCATTAAAAATAGTTATCATACAATATGTGAAAATATCAAAGAACCCAAAGAAAATTATGTTAAGTAAAACTAACCAGTCACAGGAAAAATATTGCATAATTTAATCATAAGAGTA